CTTGGGGGATGAACAAAGAGTTTGGAAGAGATGTGGTGAAGTAGGCCTAGTGACATGTTAAAGGCAGGACTGAGCTGGGGTTCGGGGGACGTGATTACAAAAATGTTGGAGAAAGCCCAGCCACTGACTACTTGGTATACCCACACCTACCAGGTCCGAAGTGGTAGCTGTCCTGCTCCCTGCCACAGCCCAGCCCAGACCCCTCCAATGTCTGCTAAGCCTGTGCCACTTGAATTGATGGCCCTAAAGGGGGTGTTCTTCTACCGAATTCCCATATGGGAGCAGAGGCTCCAGAAACCCAGGTATGTCTGCCTGGTGGCCCGCACCACTACACAGCTCTGGGCCCGCGGCCCACCTGTAAGTGCTACAGTAGACGGGGTGGGATGGGGGCTGACCACGATGATGTGCAGCCCCAGCCCAGTGAGGATGCCCCCACTGTCATCTTAGAAAGAGTGCCTGGAGTATGCAAGACAGTAGGGAGAGGACTGGCCGTCAATAGCCATATCCTAGGCTGCACTGAGATGGCGCTGCAGATAGTTTCACCACCCATGGAGGTCACTCATCGGAAAGGACAGAACTAACCCTCCCCAAGATGCCTTGAACCTGTCCTCCCTCTTGGAGGCCACCCCAAGACTGCCCCTTTGGGAACTGGAGATAGTCTCTTAGAAGTGCTGGAGGTGGGGGAGGGGGGTGTTTCCAATGTGATCCCATCCCCCCTCTCCTTTTTCTGCACTTCCACCAGAGGCAGGAGGCCCCTGCTCCTAGTAGAAGTGTGAGCAGTATGTTGTTTGAACCAGTCTTCCCAGAAAAAGGAAAATGGAAGGTCTGAGGGAATGACCTTTGTAAGGAAGGATGGAGGGAGAGAAGTGCCCTTGCTCAGGGCCACCCTGTGGTGTTACCTCCTAGAATCTTCTCCCACCTGGGAGACCAGAGCTATACCCCATTATAGTGGGTCTGCTCAGAACGCCCCCTAGCCCCTAGCCCTCCACCACACAGGATCTAACCCTGGCTCAACCGCATCCTGGCTACCAGTCTCACCTCGACCCTCAGGTGAGGGCCTGACCCTTCATCTTGCTCAGACTCGATTCCCCCATCTGAAAAATGGGGTGGCTTGCTCCCTCAGGGTCACAGGAGGGGTGAGACAACCCCATAGAGACCTTAGAGCAGTGCCAGGAGATCAGGAATGCTCCTCAAGAAGGGGCTTAAGGCCATAGCACCCAGGAGACCTCTACCTGCTCCCTGCCCATCCGGCTCTGATGGGACTTCCTGCATCCCCTACCTGGGCCTGGAAGGCCAGCAACAACTCCCCTGGGCTAAGCACATTTTCCACGTAAGAAATTCAGGCCCACAGACCTGCCCAAGGCCTTGGATTTACCTGACAGAACACCCACCATACCTTTCTACATGGCATGATCCATGCCAGGATGCGCGAGGAGGTGGCTTAGTGCCGGGGCCTAGGGAGCTTCAGTCACATCTATTACAGCTCCCTCGAGATCTTGGGACACCTCTCACTGCCACCCTCCCCAGCCTGGAGTCCCAGTCCCCTTGCTGCCTACACCCCCAGCCTGAGGACCTCAGCTCATCCCTCAGTGAAAACCCACAACCCTCACTGCCTCCCACAGCCTAGGGATCCCTGGACACCCAGACACCCCTAACAACCCCTCCCTACACTTGGTGCCTAAGAAGCAAATCCCACCTCCTCCCTCCCCTATTGGAAAACCTTTGTTGATACCCAGCTGCCGCAGGACACCCCTCCTAGCTCCCCTATCCCCCAGTCTCACCCTGTCTGGCACCGGGCCACCTACTTGCAGCCCCACACACCAGGACACCCTTGGCTGTACTTTTCCTTGGCACCCTTGATGACCCCTCTTTTTTACTATGTGAAAATAAATCTTAAATGAGAAGAGACAGAAAAAACAAAGGGAATATACTTGATGTAAACAAGAGACAAAACAAAAATGACCCTATGGGCTCACTGAACAGTGAAGGGGGCAGACCTGCCCATCAGGGCAGCCCTGGCATGCCCGATGACCAACCTCACTCCCCAGCCCCGTCCCTCCATTCTACCCTTCTTGCTCCCAGCCCCAGCCTTCCCCAGCCAGCCTGGCCAGTGGGGGTGAGAACAAATCTTGTTTGTTAATCTTTTTCTGGAAACCTGGACCACAGGTCTGAACCTCCTGTCCTCTCTCTTGGAGCCCATGCAGTCCCCAAACCTTGACCTCACCATCTGGGGACCAGGTAAATAAATTATATTTTACACTGGCCATGACGGGGGAGAGGCAGGCCCCTGGCCAGCTCACCCAGGGCTTGGTGCCTAGCCTGGTCCCTGTGAAACCAGCAAGTCACTTCCTCTTTCTGAATCTCAGTTTCCCCAAATGGAAAGAGAATCCTCAGGAGGACTTTCTCAGGCAGTTGAAAGTATGACAAGACCCGTGTAGTGGGGACAGCCACATGCAGGAGGCCCACAGCCCTGGTCGGGTATTCTTAGGCAAGACACTTGCCTTCTCTGAGCCTGTCTTCTCCCCCCACGGAAGATGGGTATGGGGTTCACAGCCAAAGTCCAGGGTTCCCAAGAATGGAAGCAGGCTAGTTCCAAACCAGGAAGAGTGTGCCCCCAAACTTCTCAGGGGATAGCACTGAGGCTCCGGAAGCTGCCTCCTTCCAGCAAATTTGCCTATACCCTGATGGGAGGCCAGAGCCAGCCTCGGGGGCCCACATGCTTTATCTGGATTCCCACTGCTCCCTCTGGGCCTCAGTGTACCCTCATGTGAAATGGGCCCAGGCCAGCTGTGTGGCAGGGCTGTGAGAGTGAAGCGAAGAGGATGCCCACAGTGTGCCCTCACCATCTGGCAGTCCTTCTACTGCCCCTTCTCTTGGCCTTTTCTCCACGGTCCTTCCAGTGTACAGGGTGTGCAGGGGTCATTCCTGGCCACTGGAACCCTGCATTTCTCCTCCCACTGGGCCATGTTCCTGGGCAACCTCCCAGATCAGGGAGCGCTGGAGCTGCCCTGGGAGTAGGGCCAGAAGTCTGTGGCCAGTGAGAGGGTGGTCTCCTAAATGACCTGGGCACCAAGATCCTCCTGGTCAGTCTTTCAACAAACATTTGCAACTCTGCTCTGAGCCAGCCTCCCCTCCAGCCTTGCAATGGGGGATGAGGGAAGGACACAGACTCCAGGATACCTCATCCATCCAGCTGGACTTTCAGGAACAGCAGAGTAATGTACCCATTTTACAAACTGCAGAAAAAACACACAGCCCATGGCTGTGTTTCAGATTGCCAAACCGACTCCAAAAGACTCCATCCCTTCACAGCCCCACAGGGAGAGGTGGATGTCCATTTCACAGCCCAAGAGACTGGGTCCACAGGGTAGGGAAGTGGTGGAGTCCAAAGGATGGTGTTACCCCAGAGCAAAGCAACCATGGCCAAAGTGATGACTCTACCTGGCCTGTCCAAGAGCCTGGGGGCAGGGAGACAGTGCCCACCACCTAACACACCTGGAAAGTGAAGCAAAGAAGCAGAGATGCTCCCCAGGTAAAAGTAGGGGTGGGGGGAGCTCCAACCTCAAACTTCAGGGAAGGGCTCATGGGTGGGACCCCAGGTCTCTCGTCTGGCAAGGTGCTGAGCTGCAGCAGATCAGCAGGGCTGCAGTGAGGCTGGCATGCCAGAGGGCAGGGACTAGACTTTGAGATCCTCTTTCCCCCAAGAGTCATTTTCGAACAGCCTTTTGTATGCAAACATGTGAGGGTCCCTCCCCCTGTCCTTGGCTGACCTTGGGCAAGTCCCTCCACCTTTGGTCCATATTCACCTCCCCAACATTCAAGTATACGCACTGTCTTACACAGGGGGGCAAACCACCCAGCTCAGATCTGAGCATCAAGCTGCCATAGGGTGTCAAGCAGTCAAACAAAATAAGCCAACCCCACCAGGCTGGGGCAGGTCTTAGCTCCCACTTGTATGACTTAATTCCCTGGGCCTCCGTTTCTACATTTGAGAGGGAACTGACCCCCCAATGCCTCCTTGCTAGCTGGTGTCATCGTTTTAAGCAGGATTGGCTGTAACCTCGGGGATGTGACCTGGGCCAGTTTCCACCTGTGCAGAGAGCCCAATCCTGCACTTGGTGCCCTGAGACCCTCCTGCTTAAATGTCCACTAAAGTGAGCCTCCAGGACATTTAGGGCACGTGGTCCAGGTTTGATTCTGTTTCTAAAACGGTTATATTTTAGGTGCATTCATGGAACAAAACCGGCATTGGAACTTGGAACTTCAGATGTTTCCTACATCAGAACCAGGGCTCGAAGGTGAACCCTCTTCAGATTATTCCTGAAATCAAACACAAAGTAAAAATAGCCAGCCCCGCCCCTCCCTCCGGAGACCCCGGAGCCTCAACCTACGCCTGGCGTCCGTGGGACCTCAGGCTGTCACTCCTCTTTCTAGGCTATTACCCTACTAGTGAAGTGGGGCAGGGAAGCTAGCCAAGGAACCAGAGCACCTCCTCTCAAAGCGATGCAATGGCGATTTCCCCACGTCCGCCGACTTCCTCCAGCGCCGCGGCGGGGGCACCCATGGAACCCGCGGCCCCAACAGGGAAAGGCCGCGCACCTGGGTAGACAGGAGGCTGTTGCCTCCGCCTGATTTCAGGCCTCTCGCCGCCTGCCTTGTGTCGCCTGGGCCGCCCGCTGGACGGAGAGGGTAGGGGAGGTTCGCCCTCGGGCTGATCTCGTCCTGCGAGCCACCCCCAGCGCCGCCTCATCCTGGTCCCGCAGTTGTGCGTTTCCCGGCCGGGGCTGTGCGCCCCACCAGCCCAGTTGTGCGTTCCCTACCTCCCAGCAGTGCAACCCCCTAGTCAAAGCACCCCGCCGCTCCACTTCCACCTTCCCTACCCTCAGCTGTGCGCCGTCTCCCAGGCTGTGCGCCAACCCCCGCCTTCTCGGCTGTGCTGTACCCCCCGTCTAGTAAAAGGTCACAGGGTCCGATTCGCGTCCCGGGTTCTTGGCCTTCACCTGTACTGTTCCCGGGGGCGGTTGTGGAGTCCTCCGAGTGGCCCCCAGGCCTCGCCCGGCCGCTGAGGGTCGCGGCCACCAGACTCATCCCTGCGCGCCCCGCGGCTCTCTGCCAGACTGCCCCTACATTGGCCGGAGGGGCGGGGCATCCCGGGCACGCCCTCCCAGAGTCCCACCCCCTGCACCTCTTAAGCTGGAGGCTGGGCCAGCCCCGCGGGAGCCCAAAAGCCCTAGGGGACGGCGCCAGCGAAGCAGGAAGTCTCACTCCAGGGTTTGCGCAGGTGGTGACCTCTGCCCCGCCTCTCCGACCAGCTGGGTCCCCCCAGGCCAAGTGTCAGGTGGACCCCATTTGCCACTGTTGGCCAGACCATCCGTAATGGGTGCAGGTATTATAGGTCTTCACTGAGGGACCCTGGGGTGGTGGGGGCAGGGTTCACACCCTCCGGATCTAGCCCAGGTCCCCCACGCACACACCCACCGACCCGTCCTCTCCCGGCTTCCTCAATCCTGCTCTGATCCGTCTGCAGAAACCTGCCTTGTCTTCTGTCCCCACCCAGCCCAGGTGCAGAACCCTGCCCAGGACACCACTGAGGTGGTCTCAGACCACAGACACCTGAGCTGGAGTGATGCAGGGCTCAGGGCGGCTTTTGAGCACAGGTGACCTAACAGACAGAGCTGGGGTAGACAGGCCTTGCAGCGAGAACAGCAGGTGCAAAGGTCCTGAGGTCTGAACACTTGTGAAAATTTGAGGGACAGACTAGTGTGGCTGGCACAAGAAGTCTGGGAAGGTGGCCATTTGGACAGGACTGGCTCTGGAAGGCCTGGCCTGTGATAGTAAGAAGTTAGTGTTCTCCAGGGACCACAGAGCAGTGTCCCAGCAGGTCAACACTCTCCTGCCTCCAACCACCCCGCCCCCCACTTTCAGAAGAACCCCAGTAGAAGCTGAGGTTCAATATGACAGGTGAAGGGTACTTCCCTTTGCTGAGTCAGGGTTGGTTTTACCCTGTAATATCTCATTCCCACTTCAGGCTATGGACCACACCTGATGACTTTCTTCAATTTCCTTGATGTGAAACAAAGCACATGTGTCCCATCTGTCACTTCGGAGAGCCAAATGAATTTGCAGGGCCCACAGCGACCCCTTAAGCACCCACCCCGAGATCATACTTGGGAACCTGGGACCCCAGAATTCCCTGCCAATGGCCCCGAGCCCATCTCCAGGGCCTTGTGACTTTATGGGTCTGACCCCCTGAGCACATTGCTGTGCTGAGGGCATCTGCCTGCCTGTCAGCAGGGGACAGGGCTAGAAGGGAAGATCAGAGTGGCCCTTGAGTTGCAGGATAGAGCTGGTAGGAGCTGCCTGCCGACTGCCCACTCTGCCACATTCTGGCCCAGGCCTCCAGGAGCCCCAAATGCTGAACTATAGCCTGGCCATTTAAGGTGGGTATGTTTCCTGGGGCTGCTGTAACAAGGTACCACAGACCAGGTGCCCAAGGACTACAGAATTGTATTGTTTTGGGGTTCTGGAGCCCAGAAGTCTGAGATCAAGGTGTGAGCAAGTCTTCGCAGACTCCAAACACACCACGAAGGGTCTCTTCTGGGCTTTTCTCCAGCTTCCAGTAGCTCCTGGACTTGTGGACGCATCACTGCTGTCTTCACATAGCTGTTTTGTCCCTTGCACATAGTTCTGTTTGATTAGGGCCACATAATAACCTCATTTTAACTTGATTGTTATCTATTCCCAAAAGAGGGCATGTTCTGAGGTCCTGGGCATTAAGATTTAAGCACTTGACTTTTGTGGGGCAGGACATAACTCAGTCCATAACAGAGAGTGTCAAGTATGGGGGTAGCATGTTTTCTAAGCCATCTGTGGCTTGGTCACATGTTCTGGGTGTCCAAGCATGTGGTGCCAGTATCCTTTTGAACTGTTAGGGAGCTGGGGGTGACTCAAGATTTCTTTCACATGCTACAGGAAACCATATACTTCGTCACACCTCAGAACACCCACTTGCCACCAAAGCTATTTTCAGAAGCAGCAGGAGGCACTGGGGTGGTCCTGGAGGTGGAATCTTGGCTGATTTGAACCTTGATTAGGGTGCCTTGTCCACCTTTTCCAAGGCCTGTTGGAATAGCACACTTCTGGAGAGTGCCAGCAATGCTGACTATACACAGGGAGAGAAACTGAGGCAAGGGAAGGGAAGGCACTTGGCCCATCACAGACAACAGACCACCGTGGCCATCCCTTGCCCTACTGCTGCTCCCTTCATCCATGAGAAGGACTGTGGCTCTGACAGGCCTCCCTGTGCCTGGGCCTTGGTGTTCTCATCTGAGGGACAGAGAAGTTTCTCCACCCTCCTGAGGTGAGAGAGACCACAACATGATTAAAGATGGAGTTGCTGGGCCGTGCAGTACCTGTCAGCATTTGGACTTGGGCACTCTGCCACCTACTCCTGGCTCTCCCAGCTACTCAGACTCCCCATGCCTCAGCCCAGATTGGGAGCAGTGCCTGGGCAATGCCAGGCTGGTGCCTTCTTGGCCTAAGGCCTCAGCCATCTCCTCCACAGAGCCCTCCCTGATGCCCTGCCCCAACAGAGCTGTTCTGTGACCTTAATCCTTTTGCCATGTCCACAAATTGGAGAGAACATACGGCTTCCTTGGAGGAGACAATATGTGGACAGCTGGCAGGGAGGCAAGGAGAACCCAGCACAGAAGCCTTGTCCTCTCTGCATTTGGGGGTCCAGCCCCTACCCCATTACTAGCTCTCCCATCTAGGTTTGCTGCCAGGAGCACACAATATGGGGTAAGGAACTAGGGAGGCTGGTGCAGGGGGAGGAGTCTGAAAACCCTGGGCCTCGGTGTTCTGCTCTGTAAAATGGGCTTCTATATGCTGCCAGAGATTTCAAGGGGATGGTTAGGGTCTGCTCTGGTGGTCTCTTCTTCCTGCCAGGTTTAACTGAGTCATTGCCTGCCTCAGGGAGCCTTACTCAATGTCCACATTCACCTGACACAGTATCCATGGGCCCTGGTTGGGGAGGTGGTTATTGGAGTGTTCCCCTCAAATTAGATAATACCTGTAGAATTGTAAATGCCTCTTGTTTTCCTTAATATTCTTCATTTTTACTTCCACTCAATCGAAAAATGAGATTTTCATCCTAAAAACCTCTCATAATACACCAAGTCCACAAAAAGTTCCATTGCCAATAGGGTGTCCTCAGGGGCTTTAACTCCTTTTCCTTTAACCTTTTAAAATTAAAAGCATTTTTTTTTAATATAAAAGTAATCTGAGCTTGTAGCTCCAATGAGCTAGGTATTTGGGGGAAAAAAGAATTTTCCCAAAAATGTCTTCCACCAGGCTGTTTGGCACCCTCTACACGCATAGGTCTTCTAAGCCATTCCGCAAGGAAGAGATCCTATTCCTATGCAGGTAACCCCTGCCCAGAGCCTACTCCCTACCAGGGCCCAGCTCCGACCATAGGGTGGTCCTCCCTAGCCAAAGGCCTGCACGAGCAAGGCTTGCCTTGGCTTTCAAGAGGGAGACAATTGAGTTACCCCAGGTGTCATGGAGCCATTGCCAACAGGTTTGAAGTGATGACTTGGAGACAAGCAGCAAAGACACATAGGGCCACGTGCTTCCCCAGAGGGCAAAAACAAGTGACATATTCACAGAATAGGTCCGACCAGTCCCTCTTGTGTGCCAGGCCTACTCAGGAGCTGGAACACAGTTTACCTGAAAGGACAAAGGCTGGCTGGCTGCTCCCCTGGACTCCTCCACCACTTCTGGGCAGCCAGACTGTGGGTTATGTTTTCCCGCCTCTTAACTTTTTGTTGTCTGTACTTTCTACAAACGGGCATGAATCTATTATCTAAACAGAAAACAGAAAACTAATAAAGATTTTAATGGTGTGGTTCTGAATGCCCCCTGTAAGAAAAGACATGGACTGACCTGTCATTTACAGATTGGGAAACTGAGGCTCGAAGAGTAGGAACTGTCCTGTCCAACATCACTCGCTTGCTAGGATTATGACACATTACTCAGGACTGAGGGCTCACTCATAATGACAGGATTTGGGCAACCCCCTTTGAGGGCAGAGGCGCATTTCCACAGCCCCAGCGGCATCCAGGTAAGCCGTCAGTAAGAAGTGCACAGGCTGGTCAAGAGCAATGCAGAGACTTAGTGCTCATGAGCCAGTTAAGTTTTGATGCCCTGTAGCTGCCTGCCAGCACACTGGGAGACCAAGTCACCTGAGAAGTGTGGGAGCCTGCTTCTCCATTCTTCCTTTCTACCATGCTCCCTGCTGGCTTCCCCACTGCCCACCACAGACCCCATGCCCACTGGGCTGTCACCAGCCTCTTAGGTTCAGGAGGTTTAGCAACTCTTCTTGCCCTGCTGGACAGGCTTAGGTAAGTCCTGCTCCTTTTTGGGCTCCAGTGTCTTCCTACCTCCCCCAGGCAATACCCACGGAGGCTCAAAGCTCTTTGCCCAGGCAGCATGTCAGAGGCCAAGGCATGGGACCTGTCTCACACCTTGGGGAACGATATTCCTGGAGCCTTAGAGGGTGGTCTCTCACAAGGCCTGAAAGTCTGACCAAGGCCATCCAAATGGACAGATCAGGTACCTGTCCCCTGAGAGGTGCTTGGAGGGCTTCTATTTCACAGATGGGGAAACTGAGGCCCAGGGGAAGGATCTGCTCCTAGCAACACAACTCATCCCAAACATTCTCCCCAAGGCCTGGGCTCTGGAGCCTGATGGTCTGGTTTTCAGTGTCTCTGTTCCCACACCTGCAAAATGGGCATGCTGGCTCCTATGAGGGTAGAAGAAGGATGAAATGTGAGTGCGTCACAGTGTGTTCAGTATGTGGGGCCCACAGTCAGCTCTTGTAGGAGGGGCATTGGGCTCTCATTGGTGGGGCAAGTCTGCCCGACAGTGAAGTGGGAGGAGGCTTCTTTGAGTCTCTGGCTGCATAACTGGCTCTGGGCCCCTCAGTCCCTGCACTGACAACTGCACTCCTGCAGTAATCAGGAATGCTCTGTTATTCTCATTTTACAGGTTAGAAACTGAGGCCTCTGTCCTGTTTGCTGAGTGGCCGCCTTAGTCAGCTGCAAGGGACAGAAACCCA